TACGGTTTTTCTGTTCAAAGTATTTCAGGGAAGCTGCTTTATCTGAAGGCACGATTGCCTGCCAGCAGTGACGACGACAACGTTTTCTTAAACTCCGCGCGTATGCGACTGCAGCGTAGCAATGAGAAAACAAAGGCTATTGAGTAGACTTTGCGCTGCTTGCCGGTGAATGCCTGATGCCATTTTCTGCTTCCATTTTTGGTTGCGCTTCTGTCGAATTTTCAATAGATGAAGCCACATTTTGCTTCATTTTCAACACCACCGCTTGGCTTCAAACATGTCATTGACTATGAACAAAATTCCGCAGTTTGGGAGCATGTCTGTCATGAAGGTTTCCAGCGCAAGAAGCAACCAGTGGTGGTTCTTGACATGTCCCAAGGTGATAGCACATGCAAATCGATTGATGGATGCTGCCTGTCGTCCATCTTGTCCTGTTTATCAACATCCATGTTTCCATACGTGCCTGCTTTCCAAGCATTGCCGCGAACCAAGGTGAAAATGACTTTAAAGAGGGGGCTTGATTTCATGCTTTTTAGACCTATCACGGATATAGACAGTCTTGACATTCTTCTTGTCATGTTGCTGATTGAAATATGCACCCATTGGAAAAGGATGAAATGGGAACAAGCCCAAAACACCCTTCCTAGTCTTGCGAAAAAGTTCGTGGCTATTTTTAAATTCAGACCTCTCTCAATTACCTTTGGTTTTACATTTTAGATTGAAAATCGCATCATTAAATCATAAAATCATAAAGTGGTAAAGTTGGGATTTTTTTAAAACATCAAAGAGCTTTTTTGAAGAAAATTGAACTTTACGATTTAACGGCTTTACGCTGCCCTGGTGCAATCTAAAAAACTAGGTCTGGGAAAGCTTTTTAGCATTGTGGTGCACAGCACCAGCGTACGGCAACTGCAACTACTATCGGGTGACACGTTTTCATTGGTAAGAATCCGGGTGAAATTTGAAGCTATTTTCATCGCTTTGTTATTTCCCTGAACCTCTTTTTGTTTCCCAGAGTTCTTGACCCTGAACGTCTTTTTGTTTCCGGGGTTTCTGATTTATGTCCCTCAATCCCGTATTTATGTCCCCAGGTGCCTTGTTTATTTCCTTGAGTCCCATATTCATTTCCCAGAGCTCCTTATTGAGCTGCTGGAGCGCTTCGAGTTCCTTGCTCGCTGCCCTGAATTCATGATGTATTTCCATGCATGCTCTATTTGGACTATTGCGCTCACTTCGCTGTTTATTTCCTTGCGTTCTTGTTGTTTCCTGTGCTCCTTATTTGTTTCTTGCATCGTTCATTTATATCCGGAAATTCATGATTTATTTCCCCGAACCGCTACTTTATTGTCAGTGTTTTCCATATTGATTTTCCCGAATTCTTTTCTTTCCCATATCCCCGGGCTTCTTTCAAGGTTCTGAATTTTCTCTGCATATTTCCCTGAATTTCGTCGGCTCCTTTATTTCCTTCTTTATTTCGATAGGTTCGTTTTTATTTGTTTGTTTCTGTGAATTTTGATTTGTTTCTCTGAGTCTGAGCCCCTTGTATTTTCTTCCCTAGCAAAGACACATCAAGTAGTTAAGTTGAAGCGCCGCCCTCAATGATGACAAAATGCGTTTGTTGGATATGTAAATTGGAGAGAAGCTTTGAAACATATACATTACTTACTTGCCATCATTGAGAGCAGCATTTTCGTTCGTTCACTTGTTGCTTCTTTGGTTGTTAGCCATCATTGAAGGCGGCGGTGTCACTTAATTACTTACTGTTCGTCTGCTTCGTGTTGCAAAGAAGTCCGTAGCCCATGTTTTTTATTTACATTGCATGGACATATCGTGAAGCTGGTAACGGCTTCAAATTTCACCCGGATTCTTACCAATGAAAACGTGTCACCCGATAGTAGTTGCAGTTGCCGTACGCTGGTGCTGTGCACCACAATGCTAAAAAGCTTTCCCAGACCTAGTTTTTTAGATTGCACCAGGGCAGCGTAAAGCCGTTAAATCGTAAAGTTCAATTTTCTTCAAAAAAGCTCTTTGATGTTTTAAAAAAATCCCAACTTTACCACTTTATGATTTTATGATTTAATGATGCGATTTTCAATCTAAAATGTAAAACCAAAGGTAATTGAGAGAGGGCGGAATTTAAAAATAGCCACGAACTTTTTCGCAAGACTAGGAAGGGTGTTTTGGGCTTGTTCCCATTTCATCCTTTTCCAATGGATGAAAATTTTATCTAAGTATTTCGCTGGTTTTGATCTTGGGGTCTTGAGGAACGCCGATTTGAACTGGTTCATCAGTGCTGAAGAACAAAAGTGACGGCGCCCACCATCAAAAAGAACATTTATTGAAGTGTGCTTTCAAGGTTTTTCCTAGTTACGGTTTTTCTGTTCAAAGTATTTCAGGGAAGCTGCTTTATCTGAAGGCACGATTGCCTGCCAGCAGTGACGACGACAACGTTTTCTTAAACTCCGCGCGTATGCGACTGCAGCGTAGCAATGAGAAAACAAAGGCTATTGAGTAGACTTTGCGCTGCTTGCCGGTGAATGCCTGATGCCATTTTCTGCTTCCATTTTTGGTTGCGCTTCTGTCGAATTTTCAAAGATGAAGCCACATTTTGCTTCATTTTCAACACCACCGCTTGGCTTCAAACATGTCATTGACTATGAACAAAATTCCGCAGTTTGGGAGCATGTCTGTCATGAAGGTTTCCAGCGCAAGAAGCAACCAGTGGTGGTTCTTGACATGTCCCAAGGTGATAGCACATGCAAATCGATTGATGGATGCTGCCTGTCGTCCATCTTGTCCTGTTTATCAACATCCATGTTTCCATACGTGCCTGCTTTCCAAGCATTGCCGCGAACCAAGGTGAAAATGACTTTAAAGAGGGGGCTTGATTTCATGCTTTTTAGACCTGACACGGATATAGACAGTCTTGACATTCTTCTTGTCATGTTGCTGATTGAAATATGCATCCATTGGAAAAGGATGAAACGGGAACAAGCCCAAAACACCCTTCCTAGTCTTGCGAAAAAGTTCGTGGCTATTTCTAAATTCCGCCCTCTCTCAGTTACCTTTGGTTTTACATTTTAGATTGAAAATCGCATCATTAAATCATAAAATCATAAAGTGGTAAAGTTGGGATTTTTTTAAAACATCAAAGAGCTTTTTGAAGAAAATTGAACTTTACGATTTAACGGCTTTACGCTGCCCCTGGTGCAATCTAAAAAACTAGGTCTGGGAAAGCTTTTTAGCATTGTGGTGCACAGCACCAGCGTACGGCAACTGCAACTACTATCGGGTGACACGTTTTCATTGGTAAGAATCCGGGTGAAATTTGAAGCTATTTTCATCGCTTTGTTATTTCCCTGAACCTCTTTTTGTTTCCCAGAGTTCTTGACCCTGAACGTCTTTTTGTTTCCGGGGTTTCTGATTTATGTCCCTCAATCCCGTATTTATGTCCCCAGGTGCCTTGTTTATTTCCTTGAGTCCCATATTCATTTCCCAGAGCTCCTTATTGAGCTGCTGGAGCGCTTCGAGTTCCTTGCTCGCTGCCCTGAATTCATGATGTATTTCCATGCATGCTCTATTTGGACTATTGCGCTCACTTCGCTGTTTATTTCCTTGCATTCTTGTTGTTTCCTGTGCTCCTTATTTGTTTCTTGCATCGTTCATTTATATCCGGAAATTCATGATTTATTTCCCCGAACCGCTACTTTATTGTCAGTGTTTTCCATATTGATTTTCCCGAATTCTTTTCTTTCCCATATCCCCGGGCTTCTTTCAAGGTTCTGAATTTCTCTGCATGTTTTGCGTTAGCTTGCTAATGCTGGTTTATAGTAAGAAGGAAAGCGAAGGCATGAGCGGCTTTCTAACTCAATGTGCAACTTCGCCCTCACGCGTAAATATGCCTTACGCAAGTTTATGTCATGTGCTCAATTTACACTTCCGTTTGTGGACTGTCAAGTTTGCAATGTTGTCTTTTTGTAAACAAGTGTTTACCAACAAACATATGAGCAAAGCAGATACTGAACTGACGAATGTTTTATTTGAAGCAGTTTAAAAAAAAATGAAATGACAAACCTCACGAAACGATGCAGTTGGATGTCAACGTGACTCAACGCTTCCAGTGTAGTATCTGTTCTTATCAGAAAATGCGACATGATGTCAAACCTTCACAAGCGAGGCTATGATTCAAGTGCAGTATCTGTCAATCATCTTAACTAAACAAACGTGAAACTGTGGATGTCACACACGTCACTACATGCATGCATGTTCATGTATCATTACATGTTTGGTGTTTTACATCCCAAGTGCGGAGGGTGGGTGGGTGCATGTGCTATGATAGCACCGGATTGTTCAGTTTCACTGACGCGTCGGCGTGGAGCCATTGACCGTGGGCACACCGCCTACATTGCCTGGAAGGCTGAGGCAGCCGTTTCCTCTTGGGTTTTGCCTGCTACGACTGGTTTCATTTTGGGCTGGTTTAGCTGTTTCTTTTGGCTCCTTTTACCGACAGTGTCATATGCAAATTGATGTGCATTCAGAAGCTGACTTGGATCGATACGATCAACTTTTTACCAATCCTGTGCTTGACCTCTTGTTTGGCGTGGACAACGGATCAGCGGTGTTTCTGCAATTTTTCGATTCATCCTCCACGAGGTGTTTTCGAACCACTTGTTTTGCAGTCTTGCTTGAAGTCAGGGATTTTCAGGAACTTCAAGACGCCATCGCACACCCCCATCGGGTGCCAGATCCTCCACTTGCCTGGACCACGCCAAGACCTGCTGAAGATGACAGGGGTACCGAATCATAGCACTGCAATCATGCCTTTTTCAAGTAATTTTGGCAACAATTTTGATGATGATGCTTACAACATGCACCTGGCACACGTTTGGACTCAAAACAGATCCTCTGCTTTTACAATGCCTTGGGACCGAGTAATGACTTCACCATGGCAAGCATGCAAACGAATGAGGACTGTTTACGCTGACATGGTCAAATCGGCTATGCCTCCAATGCCGGTGCGCCAACAACAGGAGGTGCAGTTGGAAGAGGCCTCGACTGACAGCGCTTTCAAGATGGCTGGAATCAGGGCCGCAAACAACATCGATAATCGATTGTGGGCAGAGAAGTTGTCATGGGAGAGAAGGGCTGCCTACAAAAAGTGGTCGTCCATCATTCTTCATGAAGTTGGTGCCTGGGAGATAACCCGGCTCGAAGTGCAATGCAGGGCAATGGAGTTTGCCCGTGGAGGCTTGTTGGAGAGCATAGCTGATGCACTGGGAGCGAAGGCTACTAACACTCTCCATAGCAGAGCTGGTCCTTTGCTCCAATACATCAGCTTCTACAAGGAGCGCGGAAAGCCGTGCATGCCGCTCCATGAGTTCCAGGTGTACGACTTCCTGAAGGCATGCAACAACAGAGCTGCCTCATTCCCCAGATCGCTGCTTTTGTCGATCAATTTTGCGGACCATCATTTTGGACTTCATGGAGCAGCTTCAATAAGGGCTTCTGGCAGAATCAAAGGGCTGGTCGACATTTTGTATGGCCAGAGGAAGAAACTGGTCCAAAGACCACCCCTGTCCGTGAAGCAGATCCTGCACCTAGAAGCCACGGTGCATGATGAGGGCAGGGCAATTTTTGACAGACTGGCCAGTGGGTACTTCCTTTTCCTCGTGTACGGAAGGCTGAGATACTCAGATGGGTTACAGGTGTCTTCACTTTTGCTGGATGAGCGTCCGGACGGGTTTGGATTCCTTGAATGCCTTGCCGAGAAGACCAAGACGTCAATCACGTTGGAGAAGAAAGCCCGACATATACCCATTGCTGTGCCCTTACAATGCTTGGGCCCAAAACCATGGGTGCAGACGTGGCTGAACCTTCGACAAGAGAATGTTTTGCCTGCCATGGGAGATGCCCAAGGTTTTGTGCCGCTTTTGACAACACCATCGAACGGTGGTGGATGGTCGAAGATTCCCTTGACTGTGACAGCCGCCGCCGGATGGCTCAGGGCTCTTCTTCAAGGGGTGGAAGTTGATGGGCCGGTGCGGATTGGCACGCACTCATGCAAGGCCAGCCTTTTGTCGATGTGTGCCAAGTTCAATATGTCAGGGCAATCCCGACGGATCCTTGGGTATCACAGTGCTTCCAAGGAAACCTCAATGCTCGTTTACAGTCGCGATGCTGCAGCGGGTCCTTTGCGTGACTTATGTCACATGCTGGAGGTCATAAAATCTGGGAAGTTCAGACCTGATGAGACGCGTTCAGGCAGGTTCGTGGACATGGACCCAGTTGAACCACCAGAGGACGACGACGATGGAGCTTCGTCCAGCACAGCGACGGAGAACGAGGAAGATGTTGACTGTGAAAAGGAAGAAGCTGCCTGCAGAAACGTGGTCGGAGATTGGCAACCAGAAAAGGCCATTGAGGTCGAAGATGCAGTGTACGTCCGGAATAAAATTTCCAGATGCATCCACGTCTTTGCAGACGAAGCTGGGGCTGAGTTCAAATGCGGCCGAAAGATGTCAGCCAGCTACGACAGGCTTCAGACAAAGCCAGCTTTCCTTTCTCCGGCCTGCAATGTTTGCTTCAGATAAATGCCATACATGTATGAATGTCGAAGGAAAAAGGCAGCCATTCGACAACTTGAGCCAACTTGAACGCACCGTGATGAAATGCACATCATCAGAGGCACATGCATGCCTTATTGGAAATGCACCATGGAACATCATGCAATGTTCGTGTTTTGGCTCCAGATGACCAATGCGGTCGAACGGCGATGCGATGTACCGTCATGTTTGCATGTACCATGTGTTTATGCATCATTTTTGCATGTCCCATGTTTCAGAGTTTTTCAACCTGCATATGCAATCATGCACCACTTGCACATGTCAATTTGATGGCTGTTACAAATAGGTTGGACCTGGCTCAGACTAACATGTTGTCGCTTGGAAACAATTCTGGTTTGTCGAACCCCTCTTTCTCCTTGCTGCCATGAGTTTTTCAGATAGCGAAGCAGTTTTCTTTCAAAGATGTCGAGAGATTGGGTTCGAAGACGAGGCCATAGCCAACATGAAAGATCAGCAACTGACCACTATGTCACGTTTTGCATTTGCTTGCAATTACTCCCCAGCTGGTACTGACGAAGCACCTTTGGTTAACTTGGCAAAAGAGGTCTATGGCAAGGACCCTAGCACTGTTGAGATGGCTTTCATCAGGAGAATCTTTAACGAAGCTTATGTGAATGTTGCATCAGATATAAAATCCAAGGCAGAAAGCACAGACGAGACACCGATCAGGAAACTTGCACCAGCTGAGAGGAGTGAGAGACTCAAACAACAGCAGCAGCGGCTGAGAGGCATCAATATCTCAGGACCTTTGGAACCTGGCGACAGCCTTATTGACAAATGCATATCCATTTATGAGAGTGACCGCATTCAATACGTTTCTTGGGAATCAGCAGTGAGTCGAGAACATGAACTACTCACAGGACTGAAAAGGGACACCCAGCTCACTTTTGATGGTTCAGGCACCTTGAAATTGCAGAAGGCCAATCAGGTTGAGCCGTGCAACACCAGCAGCGAGATTCAGGTGAAATACGCATTGACTAGGCGAGCTCTCGCCTTTGAGCAGGCGAACCTGGTGAAGTTCTCCCTCATGGAGGCGTGGTCAGAAAAGATGATGCAATGTCGCCTCGAAGAACCCAGCAGCGGATTTGCCCGCACCACCATGAAACAACTGGAACAGGCTGACCGGAAGCTTTTTGTAGTCTTGGGTGAACACACCCGCGAGGGGATCAAAGCCAACACAGCAGGACGTCCAATTGACCTCATTTTTGAAAAATGCATGCAGTCATCGGAAGTCATGGCCCTTTTGCAGCCTCGACCCATAGCAGCCAACAAACCTGATCGAGAAGCTCCCAAACCGGTCGGAGAGAGTCCAGCCAAAAGGCAGCGTTTTGAGAAAGGTGGCAAAGGATCCTTCAAAGGTAAAGGCAAGTCAAAGGGATCCAACAATGCCCGCATTCCTCATGAGTTGCTTGCTCTTGGTGATGTTGCAGCTTCAACACCAAAAGGGATGCGTTTGTGTTTTGGGTACAACTTGAAGCGTTGCCCTCATGTCGTTGACAAGCAGAAGTGTGAGAGAGGCCTCCATTGTTGCTGCATCAAAGGGTGCTTCAAGTCCCACCCGGCCTTGGATCACGGGAAGGAATGACTCCCGATTGAGCGGGAGCCCATACACGAGAGTGGCCATGATCTTCATGTCCCTCAGAGCCTCGGTGATGAAGGCACGCCGATCAATTTTCATGAGTGTTTGCCTGCCCCCACTGAGGGCACCAAACCTTGCATTTTTCTTGAGCTTTGTGCGGGCAGCGCACGACTGTCGGCAGCGGTACGTAGTACAGGAATTCCTGTTGTACCCATTGACCACAAGCACAACAGGCATGCACCACGATGCAAAATCGTCCAGCTCGATCTTTCACAACCTCATGCATGGAGTCAGTTGATATTTTTGCTTGATAATTATGATGTTCTAGCATGCCACATAGCACCTCCCTGTGGCACGTGCAGTCGTGCGAGAGGAATTCCGATGCCTGATATAAAACTCCTGGGCCTCAACCTCTGAGGTCAGAAAGTGAGCCTTTGGGTCTGCAAGGACTATCCTATGCAGATCAAATGCGTGTTGACGGCGCCAATGCCTTGTACGATGTTTTGGGCAGGCTGGTTGAAGAATTGCACAAAAGGGACATACCCTGGTCAATCGAAAATCCTACAAACTCGTTGATGTGGGGCTTGAAGTTTTCCCTTTTTGCAATCATCCACGGAGAGTGGATTCACTGTCATGCATGCGCTTTTGGCAGCACGAGGAAAAAGTTGACAACCTTTTTGGTCAGTGATGCTGCACTCTATGAGCCCTTACAGCGATTCTGCCCGGGAAATCATGAACATGAGGCATGGGGTTTTGACCATGCCACTTCAACTTTTAACACTGCCAAAGAAGCCGAGTATCCTGATGGAATGTGCCGCACCTATGCTGACATTGTACAACAGATTGTGTTGCAGCGCGGTTTGCATGTCCACGACTTCAATGGGAAATCCACAGCCACTGCCCCGCAAGTGCAGAAGCGAGGAAGGAAAGTGCCTCAACTGGTTTCGGAATTTTTATGGACTAAAGCGGTCCTCATGCGGAACATCCCGAACGTGGATAACAAGAAATGCCTTACTCAACAACATGGCGACATTCCTAAGGGTTGCAAACTGCTAAGAACTGAAGCGAACAAGGGGAAGGACGGAGATTTGACCTTATGCGTTTTTGGGTGTTTCAGAACAATGCAACAATTTGTGGACGTCAGCAGACAGATTTGGCATCCATATGATGAGCTCAAGAACCTGCCTGACTCTCTTGTGAGAACGCTTTTCTGGTATCTCACCACTGCCCCCTCTGAGATCACAAAGCACCGAATCAACTGCTTGACAAGATGGAGAACCACGGAAGCCAAACTCAGATCATTGGAATCTGAGCTTCATGGACAAATGAGTGAATCAGTTGCATGTGTTCTCCGTGGCAAGAATATCCTCTTGATGAGACAAGTCGCAGAGGAAATGAACTGGCCCGACGTCAACCTTTTTGATGAGATGACACAAGGTTTTGAGCTCACTGGAAACTTCAGCGCATGTGGCATCTTCAAACCGCAGGTCAACATTCCAACTTTATCGGTGGCCCAACTGAAACAGAACACCAAGTTCCTCAGGCCCACTCTCCTGGGGCGCATGAGACTGACAGAAGCCAGTGAGCTCCAGACGGAACTCATGGAAGTGACAGAGATGGAAAAATCGAAAGGCTGGCTTGAAGGTCCTTTTACCACAGATGAGATAACAAACAAATATGGTCACGACTGGTTGCCGGTTAGGCGATTCGGAGTCAAACAAAAGAACAAGACGCGGCCAATTGACGATTTCCGTGAAAACACGCTGAATCAGACTTTTGGATCGGTGGAGAAGCCTGAGTTGCGCACCATGGACCATGTGCTCTGGGCCCTGGTTGTTCTTGCACAATATCTTACTTTCCATGAACACATGCAGTTCAAGCTGAGCGATGGCAGCACACTGGACGGGGATGTTCATGACGAATGGAAAAGGCTGAGACCCATATTCAAGACCACGTGCGTTGATTTGCAAAGCGCATACAAACAACTTGCTGTGCATCCAGACGAACATCACCGAACGGTGGTAACCTTGTGGGATAACCAGAAGCGGAAACCAGTATGCTATACTTCCAAGGTTTTGCCGTTTGGAGCCTCGGCCAGTGTGCACCACTTCCTAAGAGTCAGCTCTTTCTTACAAGCGGCCGGACTGCACATGGGCCTTTGTTGGGCTGCTTACTTTGACGATTATGCTTTGCTGACGCATGAGTGTCACGAGAAAAGCTCCCTGCATGCTGCCCTGGAGTTGTTTGATGTTTTTGGGTTTCTTTACAGCAAAGACAAGCTTGCAGCTTTTTCAGACTGCACTGAGCTGCTTGGGGTAGAGCTCAATTTGCAATCTGTGAATTCTGGCCACATCAAGGTGCAGAACAAGCAATCGAGAATAGAAGAGACTGTGCAATTTTTGGACAAGATGATAGAAGAACGCTACATTGCGGTGGACCAAATGCCAAGTAAACTTGGGAAGCTGCAGTATGCGGAGGCACAGCTGTGGGGACGTGCGGGGCGGCTTGCCCTTGCAGACATAAGACATGCAGCTTCGCTTGGCAAAGTGACGGTGGAGCTTGATGAAAGAGCTTGCAAGGCCGTTGAACTTCTGAGGTCAAAACTTCTGTCAGGGCGGCCCAGGACATTCAGTGTTTCTAAGAAGAAGATGCCCGTCGTCATTTTTACTGACGGTTCTCTGGAATATGACAACGGTAAACGTGTCGCTGGCATTGGGGGAGTATGCATTCTTCCCTGTGGGCATGTCGAAATTTTTGGAGCTGAAGTGCCACAAGAAATTTTGGATGATTGGACAGAGAATGACGACAAAGATCACGTCATTGGGCTTATTGAGCTGTATGCTGTGCTGACCGCCTTGCACACCTGGTCGCGGCACATTACGTTAGAAAGGGTTGTGGTCTTTGTTGACAACTGGCCAGCTGTCGACGCCCTTGTAAAAGGGGTATCCACCCAACGGACGTGGAGAGACCTTTTGATGACCTTTGAGATTTTGGATGAGAAGCAGCAATCGCTGCATTGGTTTGCCAGAGTTCCTTCATCGAGCAATCCTGCTGATCCACCCAGCAGAGGCACACTTTCAGGCTTGGAGTTCCTCAAACCTTTTGTTTTATGCGAATCCTTCTGTCCCGTTACCAACAAACCTTGGATGCAAATTGTGAAAGAATGAGCTGAAGCAGAATGGGGTGATGGATGTCAAATGCAGACATAAGAATGGCAAGTGCAACCAAAAATGGTCAAGCAACCAACCTCACAAAATGTGAGGTGAACATATCCATCGAATCCCCATCTTCTGCGACGAAAGAAAAAGACAGATGTGCTATCAAACATTTCAGTTCATTCTCATGCAGTGATGCCAATGTTTTCATGTCATGTGAGTTGCATGTTTGTCTTGTATGTTTGGTTTATGTTTTTGCGACGGCGTGCGAACGACGTATGACGTATACGACAAATAAATATATGTTTGATTATATATATGTTGACTCAAATTATAAATATGCCTTATACTTTGAACAATGTACACTCCTGTACCCACGGCTTATGCACTGCCACAACCTTATATGTTGCGTAAGCTGAAATCTGTTTGAAAGATCCTTCTGACTATAAGTTTTGCGTTAGCTTGCTAATGCTGGTTTATAGTAAGAAGGAAAGCGAAGGCATGAGCGGCTTTCTAACTCAATGTGCAACTTCGCCCTCGCGCGTAAATATGCCTTACGTAAGTTTATGTCATGTGCTCAATTTACACTTCCGTTTGTGGACTGTCAAGTTTGCAATGTTGTCTTTTTGTAAACAAGTGTTTACCAACAAACATATGAGCAAAGCAGATACTGAACTGACGAATGTTTTATTTGAAGCAGTTTAAAAAAAATGAAATGACAAACCTCACGAAACGATGCAGTTGGATGTCAACGTGACTCAACGCTTCCAGTGTAGTATCTGTTCTTATCAGAAAATGCGACATGATGTCAAACCTTCACAAGCGAGGCTATGATTCAAGTGCAGTATCTGTCAATCATCTTAACTAAACAAACGTGAAACTGTGGATGTCACACACGTCACTACATGCATGCATGTTCATGTATCATTACATGTTTGGTGTTTTACATCCCAAGTGCGGAGGGTGGGTGGGTGCATGTGCTATGATAGCACCGGATTGTTCAGTTTCACCCACCCACCCTCCTCTGAAACTTCACAATGGGTGATGGATGTCAAATGCAGACATAAGAATGGCAAGTGCAACCCAAAATGGTCAAGCAACCAACCTCACAAAATGTGAGGTGAACATATCCATCGAATCCCCATCTTCTGCGACGAAAGAAAAAGACAGATGTGCTATCAAACATTTCAGTTCATTCTCATGCAGTGATGCCAATGTTTTCATGTCATGTGAGTTGCATGTTTGTCTTGTATGTTTGGTTTATGTTTTTGCGACGGCGTGCGAACGACGTATGACGTATACGACAAATAAATATATGTTTGATTATATATATGTTGACTCAAATTATAAATATGCCTTATACTTTGAACAATGTACACTCCTGTACCCACGGCTTATGCACTGCCACAACCTTATATGTTGCGTAAGCTGAAATCTGTTTGAAAGATCCTTCTGACTATAAATTTCCCTGAATTTCGTCGGCTCCTTTATTTCCTTGTTTATTTCGATAGGTTCGTTTCTATTTGTTTGTTTCTGTGAATTTTGATTTGTTTCTCTGAGTCTGAGCCCCTTGTATTTTCTTCCCTAGCAAAGACACATCAAGTAGTTAAGTTGAAGCGCCGCCCTCAATGATGACAAAATGCGTTTGTTGGATATGTAAATTGGAGAGAAGCTTTGAAACATATACATTACTTACTTGCCATCATTGAGAGCAGCATTTTCGTTCGTTCACTTGTTGCTTCTTTGGTTGTTAGCCATCATTGAAGGCGGCGGTGTCACTTAATTACTTACTGTTCGTCTGCTTCGTGTTGCAAAGAAGTCCGTAGCCCATGTTTTTTATTTACATTGCATGGACATATCGTGAAGCTGGTAACGGCTTCAAATTTCACCCGGATTCTTACCAATGAAAACGTGTCACCCGATAGTAGTTGCAGTTGCCGTACGCTGGTGCTGTGCACCACAATGCTAAAAAGCTTTCCCAGACCTAGTTTTTTAGATTGCACCAGGGCAGCGTAAAGCCGTTAAATCGTAAAGTTCAATTTTCTTCAAAAAAGCTCTTTGATGTTTTAAAAAAATCCCAACTTTACCACTTTATGATTTTATGATTTAATGATGCGATTTTCAATCTAAAATGTAAAACCAACGGTAATTGAGAGAGGGCGGAATTTAAAAATAGCCCCGAACTTTTTCGCAAGACTAGGAAGGGTGTTTTGGGCTTGTTCCCATTTCATCCTTTTCCAATGGATGAAAATTTTATCTAAGTATTTCGCTGGTTTTGATCTTGGGGTCTTGAGGAACGCCGATTTGAACTGGTTCATCAGTGCTGAAGAACAAAAGTGACGGCGCCCACCATCAAAAAGAACATTTATTGAAGTGTGCTTTCAAGGTTTTTCCTGGTTACGGTTTTTCTGTTCAAAGTATTTTAGGGAAGCTGCTTTATCTGAAGGCACGATTGCCTGCCAGCAGTGACGACGACAACGTTTTCTTAAACTCCGCGCGTATGCGACTGCAGCGTAGCAATGAGAAAACAAAGGCTATTGAGTAGACTTTGCGCTGCTTGCCGGTGAATGCCTGATGCCATTTTCTGCTTCCATTTTTGGTTGCGCTTCTGTCGAATTTTCAATAGATGAAGCCACATTTTGCTTCATTTTCAACACCACCGCTTGGCTTCAAACATGTCATTGACTATGAACAAAATTCCGCAGTTTGGGAGCATGTCTGTCATGAAGGTTTCCAGCGCAAGAAGCAACCAGTGGTGGTTCTTGACATGTCCCAAGGTGATAGCACATGCAAATCGATTGATGGATGCTGCCTGTCGTCCATCTTGTCCTGTTTATCAACATCCATGTTTCCATACGTGCCTGCTTTCCAAGCATTGCCGCGAACCAAGGTGAAAATGACTTTAAAGAGGGGGCTTGATTTCATGCTTTTTAGACCTGACACGGATATAGACAGTCTTGACATTCTTCTTGTCATGTTGCTGATTGAAATATGCATCCATTGGAAAAGGATGAAACGGGAACAAGCCCAAAACACCCTTCCTAGTCTTGCGAAAAAGTTCGGGGCTATTTCTAAATTCCGCCCTCTCTCAATTACCGTTGGTTTTACATTTTAGATTGAAAATCGCATCATTAAATCATAAAATCATAAAGTGGTAAAGTTGGGATTTTTTTAAAACATCAAAGAGCTTTTTTGAAGAAAATTGAACTTTACGATTTAACGGCTTTACGCTGCCCCTGGTGCAATCTAAAAAACTAGGTCTGGGAAAGCTTTTTAGCATTGTGGTGCACAGCACCAGCGTACGGCAACTGCAACTACTATCGGGTGACACGTTTTCATTGGTAAGAATCCGGGTGAAATTTGAAGCTATTTTCATCGCTTTGTTATTTCCCTGAACCTCTTTTTGTTTCCCAGAGTTCTTGACCCTGAACGTCTTTTTGTTTCCGGGGTTTCTGATTTATGTCCCTCAATCCCGTATTTATGTCCCCAGGTGCCTTGTTTATTTCCTTGAGTCCCATATTCATTTCCCAGAGCTCCTTATTGAGCTGCTGGAGCGCTTCGAGTTCCTTGCTCGCTGCCCTGAATTCATGATGTATTTCCATGCATGCTCTATTTGGACTATTGCGCTCACTTCGCTGTTTATTTCCTTGCGTTCTTGTTGTTTCCTGTGCTCCTTATTTGTTTCTTGCATCGTTCATTTATATCCGGAAATTCATGATTTATTTCCCCGAACCGCTACTTTATTGTCAGTGTTTTCCATATTGATTTTCCCGAATTCTTTTCTTTCCCATATCCCCGGGCTTCTTTCAAGGTTCTGAATTTCTCTGCATATTTCCCTGAATTTCGTCGGCTCCTTTATTTCCTTGTTTATTTCGATAGGTTCGTTTTTATTTGTTTGTTTCTGTGAATTTTGATTTGTTTCTCTGAGTCTGAGCCCCTTGTATTTTCTTCCCTAGCAAAGACACATCAAGTAGTTAAGTTGAAGCGCCGCCCTCAATGATGACAAAATGCGTTTGTTGGATATGTAAATTGGAGAGAAGCTTTGAAACATATACATTACTTACTTGCCATCATTGAGAGCAGCATTTTCGTTCGTTCACTTGTTGCTTCTTTGGTTGTTAGCCATCATTGAAGGCGGCGGTGTCACTTAATTACTTACTGTTCGTCTGCTTCGTGTTGCAAAGAAGTCCGTAGCCCATGTTTTTTTATTTACATTGCATGGACATATCGTGAAGCTGGTAACGGCTTCAAATTTCACCCGGATTCTTACCAATGAAAACGTGTCACCCGATAGTAGTTGTGGTCTTTCTGTTTTTGTTGTTTGTTTTACCTCTGCCATACCAATCCCGTGGTGATACAAAGCTATCATCTTTCTTATACATTGCAAGGACTATGAACTGATCAGCTGACCACAGCCGTGCTGTCTTTTTTGGTTGTTTTATCTTGTTTGTTCTTGTGCGCTTTGTTTTGTTTTTGTTTTCGTTGTCTGCTTTTTGCACGGTGACAGCACAATGGATTATGTATCGATCCAATCAGTTCTCTTTTGATTGCAAACGATCGACAGGACTGAAGTTGCCACAGATCTAATTCGCTGAATTTGCAAAATGCAATTGTATTTCCGGTTTGTTAAACGACCTGGCAAGAGCCATCTGGCGTTGGACGGGAAAAAAATGGTGAATCCTTGTTCCCCCCCTGATTAATTGGCCCAATGCACATGGTACTTCGGGGTTTTAGTTTCCAATTCTTCTGGGCTCTTCTGGGCTCCGTTCTTCAAAGAAATTCCCCTATAGTAACATGGACAATTATATAATTAACCGTTTTGTGGGGCTATTATTCCCAATTAAATTCTCATTCCGGTGTTGCCATTGTTGCCATTGCAATGGGGTCATGGTACATATATATATATAATATGTATATTTACATTTGTTTTACCATTTTGTTCAAAGATTTCCTGAGCCCAATCCCCTTATGCAATACCCTTTTGATTTCCCCATATAAAGGTTCCCGATAGAAAATGAACCATTAAATATAAATAGCATTTGGCCCATTCACTCATCTTTTTGGGTATAGATGTTATTTTTGTTCACTAACCCTATTGCGTGTACACCAAACACACGAGTTACAATAACCCCAGTGTTTTTTCAAGGTATATTCTATGTTTAGAAGTAATCTGTATACATATATGAATCTTAAAAAAAAAATTATATATATATACACACATATTTCTATGTGTGTGTGGGTATGTAAATATTTATTTATTTATATACCAACTGATACAGACCAAAATGCAAATAGAAACGCGCACATACATATATATATATATATACACATTGTTCTCTCTGTCTCTCTGTATATATATATATACATATATATATGTAGATATAAATCAAAAAAAACAGATACCTTGAAGACCATACGGAGAATGAACCCAAGGTGGAAAATACCTCAATGATTGTCAGGTAGACAATTCAGAAAATGAAATGGGTTTGAGATGCTGCAAAATGTATTCACCCCGCTTTGCGTGGGGTGGCCGCCCACACCGCAGGTTTATTTCGGTCCGTGAGAGGGGCTAAGGGTGGTTTTCCCCCGTGGGGGCTCCAAGGGAGGGAAAAGTGAAAATTCCATAGCTTGGGAAGGTGTCACGGCGGGGAAAAGTGAAAATTCCCGTCACGGCGGGGAAAAGTGAAAATTCCCTAGCTTGGGGAGCCCCCACGGGGGGAAAAGTGAAAATTCCCTAGCTTGGGGATCCCCCACGGGGGGGGGAAGTTAAACTTCTTAGCTTGGGGAGGCTCTCCAAGCTGCGGAATTTCAAATAGCTAGACAACGACGCCTAGATAGTCCACCAAATCCCGTGTTCTTTGAATGTGTTTCCATGTTTTTGCAATGGTTTCCTTCAAAGCACGGTACTTTACACTTTTGTCGCCATAAAACCAGTCGAAAACATCATGTTCGACAATGCTTCCAATTCCCTTATCTCCCCAACCGTTGAAAATACCGCTATTTACAGTGTTTTCTTCAATTTTTCCATGTTCCAATGCCGGTAGCCAACTCCAACATATATATAAGAAATCCTTCCAAAACATTGTTTTTGACAGTGTTTTTCCAATGTTTCCAGTCAAACAGACGGTAATTTACACGTTTTTTGCCATAAAGGCAGTAAATCCTTCCAAAACATTGCTTTTGACAGTGTTTTTGTAATGTTTCCAGTCAAGCATACGGTAATTTACACTTTTTTTGCTATAACGTCAGTCCAAAACACTTGTTTTTGCAGTGTTTTCAATGCTCTGGCATCCAAAAACCCTGCAAAATCTTGCTATGTACAATGTTTTTTTCATTTTTGGCCGTTTTTCCATTGCCGGAAAGCTACCAAAATGACCCAAAATTCCATTTCAATACCCTCTTGCGCTCAGACACCCAAAAATCCTCGAAAAATGTCGAAAACACCACCGTATTCTGGTCTCGGTGCGAAACCGTTTTTGGCCCCCCCCCCCCAGCTAAAGCTGATATAGCGACTGCTATATTAACAAATGTCATTGAGCATTTAGTGTTGTCATTGAGCATTTAGTGTTGCTGTTTTGCCCCCCAATAAGCACGCCTTCACCGCCAAAGCGGTGTGGGCGGATTTTACGCATCGTGCGGTAAAATACATTTTGGATCATTCCAAACCTATTTCCATTATTTTAGATTCCAATCCATATCCCAACAGGTCAACCCAGACCCGGCCCCCAAAAAAATCTGCCTGCGTGGCCAGGCTGCTGCAAGCACCAGCGCAGGGCAGCCACTTCGGGTGGCTGGTGGTGTATTAGTATATGATAAATATGGATAAGATATGATATAGATAGATTCGAAAGACCACCAAATAAACACATAACATTATATATATACATAGATAGATGGATAGATAGAAAGATAGACAGACAGATAGATAGATAGATATCCCTTTTACAGCGGGAATGCGGATCTTTTGAAGGATCGATGTGGGAACCTTATAAGGTGCGGTCAAATATAATGTGGCCCTGAAAAGGGCACAACTTTGTTTTTCAATTGGAAAATTGGACTATTCCAAAGGAACAACGGAAACATAGAGGACAGAAGTTACGGTATAGTTATGTTTTTTTTTGGGGGCTGAAATTAACAAAGGGGGCGCCAGCACGAGTCCCAGCTTAGCACAATGAAAACACCACCTATAAACCCCATTCAGCCCCAACATGAGGGTATGCAAAATTCGGTTTAAAGGTGCATATATACCTATGATTATATATGTAGCCTTTGTCCTTTCAAAGCAGGCACAAAGGCTACACCGGCAAAAAAACTTGCAAAAACCTACGTTTTTTTTGGGCTCAAGCCAACTTGTTCGAACTTAGCGAACTTAGCTAAGTGACTTGTAAGTAACATAGCCACCGGTCTAAGTTGCACTTAGCCAAGCCCAGTAAGTTCACTTGGGTAGATTGGCTATGTTGCCTATGTTGACTTGCCAAGTCAGCTATATATACTTACAAGTTAGCTATATGCTTACAAGTGTGCTAACTACCTATAAGAGCCTTGCCCATCCAAGTCACTCACTCACTCACTCGCTCGCTCGCTCGCTCACTCACTCACTCACGCATGCACTCACTCACTCACTCACTCACTCACTCACTCTCTCTCTCTCTCTCACTCACTCACTCACTCACTCACTCACTCACTCACTCTTTCTTTTTGCGTGCCAGGCGCAGCACTTGGTGGTGTGCAAGGGGTCGGATGTACGCCTTGGCGATGCTTTGGTGCGCTGCAAGGGGTCGGATGTACGCCCTGGCGTCCTTTGGTCTCCGCTGCTTTTTGCGTGGCAGGCGCAGCATTTGGTGCGCTGCGAGGGGTCGGATGTACGCCCTGGCGTCCTTTGGTCTCCGCTGCTTTTTGCGTGGCAGGCGCAGCATTTGTTGCTCTGCAAAGGGTCGGATGTACGCCCTGGAGTCCTTTGGTCTCCGCTGCTTTTTGCGTGGCAGGCGCAGCACTCGGTGCTCTGCAAGGGGTCGGATGTACGCCCTGGCGTCCTTTGGTCTCCGCTGCTTTTTGCGTGGCAGGCGCAGCGCTCGGTGCTCTGCAAGGGGTCGGATGTACGCCCTGGCGTCCCTTGGTCTCCGCTGCTTTTTGCGTGGCAGGCGCAGCACTTGGTGCTCTGCAAGGGGTCGGGTGTACGCCCTGGCGTCCCTTGCGTGGCAGGCACAGCATTTGGTGCGCTGAAAGGGGTCGGATGTACACCCTGGCATCCTTGGTCTCCGCTGCTTTGGCGTGGCAGGTGCATCAGTTGGTGCTATGCAAGGGGCAAGGGGTCGGATGTACGCCTTGGCGTGCCTTCGTCTCCGCTGCTTTTTGCGTGGCAGGCGCAGTATTTGGTGCTCTGCAAGGGGTGTGCTCTGGCAGGTACCTTTGGATGCAGCAGCCAAGGGCACCGTCGTGAACTACTTTCACCAACTATCCACGGCAGGGCTGGCAGTAGATGAACCCCTTACCTTTGAACCCAAATGGACGCCTGTCAAGAGGCTGCATTTCGTCAGGCGCGTAGCTCCAAAGCTTGGCTGAATACTCTACCGGCGCCATCTGAAGGCGCAGCCACCCACTCTCTGCCTCTTTTGCCCACTCACTCATTTCACTCACTCATTTCACTCACTCATTTCACTCACTCATTTCACTCACTCATTTCATTCACTCATTTCACTCACTCATTTCATTTCACTCACTCATTTCAGTTCACTCACTCATTTCACTCACTCATTTCACTCCCTCACTCCCCTCACTCCCCCTCACTCTCCTTTACTATCCCTCACTCTCCCTCACTCACCCTCACTCACCCTCACTTTCCCTCACTCACCCGCACTCACCCGCACTCCCTCACTCACCCTCACTCACCCTCACTCACCCTCACTCACCCTCACTCACCCTCACTCACCCTCACTCACCCTCACTCACCCTCACTCACCCTCACTCACTCACTCACTCACTCTCTCACTCACTCTCTCTCTCTCACTCACTCTCTCTCTCACTCTCACTCACTCTCTCTCTCGCTCACTCTCTCTCTCGCTCACTCTCTCTCTCTCTCACTCACTCTCTCTCTCTCACTCACTCTCTCTCTCACTCACTCTCTCTCTCTCTCTCACTCGTCTCACTCATCTCTCTCAATCCTCTCTCACTCACTCAACGCACTCACTCACTCACCCACGCACTCACTCCCTCCCTCCCTCCTCCCTGTCACTCACTCCCTCCCTCCCTCCCTCCCTCCCTCCCTGTCACATCTCTCACTCACACACACCACACTCACATCACGCACTCACATTCTCATTCACTCACCTGTGCATGCACATACATACACACAAACTCACCCACAATCACCCTTCCATCACTCTTATACTTGCTCTTCCCTTCTTGCTTTTCTGTGCTCAATCTAAGTCTAGAGAAGTTGGTAACATGTGGGGTTATCCGGTCCTATAATTGAAGAACCCAACCGTGAAGAGGCACGCAAAACTGCGTCCCTGCGGCATAGCTCAGTTTGGAAGCGTTCAACTGGCTTTCAAGTGCCGCGCTACTAAAGTGTGCAGCAAGGCGGGGTGTTTCCATTTGACGCTGTTTGCACATTATGCGTCATGGATCACTCATGCCATGTGACATAGCAGGTGTAGTATCTGTTCATATCCCGAGGCGCTTGTATCTCAAGCAGAAGTTGCAGAATCGTTTCCCAGTTGTTTCATTGTCGTCCCCCCGATATTTCCCAGATGTGGTCTCCCGTTCTTCTCCTAATCGTATTCCACTTGCCCCCCCCGCAACGCCTGGTCCGCCAAATTGGTTTCTGCTTGTTTCCATATATGATTTTCCAAGTGTCTCCCGAATGTGTCCATTAGCCTTATCTTTGAATTTGAAACCGTCACTGCTGTTGGGTTGTGAAGCTGGGTTTATCGACATTTGTATAAATGCAATGTTTGTTGCCGAACGTTTGGTGCTGCCTTTGTGGCACTTTGGTATTGCCACACATATCTTTGGTTGTGCAATTTGAAAGTGCCTTTGCAACCTCTATTGTTGTGAGCCGGGTCTGGATGCCACTACTGGTTTGAGACAACAGGGTCCAATTGCTGTCACATGACACATGTCATCGTTTTACGTTGAACGTTTAGTATTTTTCACTGTGCATTGGTCGACAATGACCAAAAACATGTTTGTTTTTGCGGGTTGAATTTTGGTTTCAACATCTTGGATATCATTGCCACGTTTCCAGCAAGTAAACAACAACGGATCAGTGTGGATGTTTTTCGTGAAAATTGAACGCAACATTTTTCAATGTTGCAATTTACATCACTGTCTAGCATAGTGTTTTTTTTTTAAATTTTGCAATGTGGATTGATGTGAAACAAAATGGGCAATCAAATTGCAAAAAAAAATCCACATCTGTGTATGTTGTTTCCATCAACTACATCGATTTTTTTTTTTTCGGATTTATGATTTACATGTACTGTATATTTACATCAGTTTCTTTTGGTATTTTTCAGATTTTCTTTGGCCATCGGCTTCCAAGGCGCCCTGTCGCTTCAATTTCCACATGCAGCGAAATGCATTGCAACATGTCAAATGCCGCGGGAAACCCATGGAAAATACAACAGCATATTGGACGGTGTATTGTAAATTGTGAGTTCCCTGGGGGAATTTGTTATTTTGCAAATTCATGTGTGAACACCTTCTGATTCACTTGTTTGTAATGTTTCCAAATGTCGTTAGTTTTTTTTTGGCTGGACATCTTTTAAAACTCACACCGGAAACACATTGTTTTGACATTTGTTGTACATTTGCCATGGCAAAAGTACCCGTGGAACAATTCCACGGGGAAGTGCAACATGGTTCGCACGTTGCTCAGAATTTGGTCCTTTCGTTCCTTTTGTTCACTGCAGTGACAAACATGTTTTTCTGACACAGCACGAAGGTTCTCGACTCCATCAGCAGATTTGCATTCCTCAAGGGACCTTTTTTCGATTTGTGCTGGGTGGACATGACTGCACTTGAAAATTGGGAATGTACTGGTTGAGGTTGGAACGTTGGAACAAAAATGATAAAGGGTCAATCTGGAACGGTGACTCGAACTTAACCCAACAGGATGAGGCTGCCTTCCTTTGTTTCAAGTTGTTTCATCATGAGTCATGCATGTTTGTGTTTTTTTGTGCTTCTGTGTCAACTTTGAGAGGACTCTTGCCGGATTCCAGGGGCGGCGGACATCAAACGATTACTGAAAGCCAAGGTTTCTTGTTCAAAAAGGGTGCAGTGTTTACAATAGCTGAATTTGCATGCTTGTAAAAAACATGTACGAAACTATATTTCCCAAGGCAGCACATGAGCAACGCGTGAAAGTGGTACAAGCTCGAGTGCAGATCTTGAAGTCCCAAGAGCAACAAATTTGGAAGGACTGGATGTAAAAATATTTCGGTTTTCTAATTGATTTGCCCAAATTTGATTGATTTCCATGGTGTTGCAGAGGACGTGAAACTCCTGCAGCAGAGAGGACATCACCAGGTGCCGGGTTCAAATTTGCTATGCAAGGTCTGTCAGCAGAGTTTGTTCAGGCTGAATTCGCTCAGTGGCAGCGTGAAGTGCGGAAGGCCAGAGAAAAGGTCCCAGTTGTCACCTGTAGATGCTGTAGACGCTGAATAGATTTTGATTCAGGAAGAACAACTTCAATTCCAAAGGGATGTTGCGGACTATCACGAGGCACCAGCATTGGTTTGTTGTGATTTCTATATTTCCACTGTGAATTCTTCGAGTTTCAAAACCTTTGTGCAAAAAACAGGCTCTCAAAGAAAGGGCGAGACACGTGAGAGCCAGCTTGCAAAACACACAGGCTAGGTCGGCTAGGGCAGCACGAAACCAAAAGATATGGGACAACGAATCGAAAACTTGGCACACATCTTGAGTTGATGTCCTTGGGATCTGAAGTGGTGCTGAAGTGATGGTGATGTTGTCTAACTTAGCAGAGATTCAAAGGCTCCTCGTTTGGAGAAGTACCGAGAAAACAAGATCATCGCGCAGCAAGTCCGAGAGGCACTGCTTTATGCCATGATCGCAGCGGACTTGATGCCGCTTTCGGTGCCACTTTCGCCGATTCAAACTTCCTCATAGGACTCAAGACGCCTGCTTGCAGCCCTTCACGAAGTGCCCTGGCAGATCAAAGAGGAACAGGAGTGCAGCATAGTGCAACATGCAAATCAATTTTGCATTTACCTCTCAATCCACTCGATGTTCTGCAATCAGCAAACGGTCTTTTCAGCTGAGAAGGATGTCGATGTTGGCTGAGGTGCGTGAACAAAGCCATCAAAGCAAGCTGATGCAGGTGGAAGTGAGAAGACAGCAGCGCAAGCTGGTTTCTCAGTCGACAGGAGAAAATCTATTGGGGCACTTTCAAGCTTTAAGGACTGGTCTCTAGAGGATGCATGATTCTGTCTTACTTTTTTCTATCCGATGCGAATGTAGGATTGGCCCAAAAGCAGGTGAGCAGCATGCAGTGAATGCAGCCCTAGTACATATGTTCTATTATGTTCTTGTGTTTTACGATCTCATCCAACATGCTGTGTTTGCATGTGTTTGCGATATTTTCGCACGGCTCAGCAGATACAAAAAAATCTTCACTCTGTAAGGTCACTGTAGGGTTTGAATCTTGAAGACGTAGCATATTTTGCGATTTCTTGCGAAATGCCGTTGCGCTATTTGGAGCATGATCTTTCCTCTCTTGCTGGGAGTGCTGGGCAGGTAGGGCGGGAAATAGTTGCCTAGCAACTAGAATCTTCCACAAGAGTTTTCCTGATAAATTGTCATTCCGAAGATGGTGCCACAGCACGGAAGTTTTGTTAGCAATGTTGTCCTGAAGGCAAAACATATTTCTGTCCTTCCAGAGCTGCTTCTCAACCACAGAACTTCCAGATCCAGCAGCTTTGCAACGTTTCTTTTCGGAAGCGCTGGACAGCATCAAACTTGTCCACGTGCATTGAGTTTCTTGGCTAAGTTGTCTACATGTTTGTGACGTTGGCTTGAACATTGAACATTTGGAGCCCTCAGCCCACAGGTTTCAAGGATGCTCATCCGGGTCTCGCATTTGAGTGGATGTCCTCGCCATCTGGACTGAAATATAAAGATGAAGCCTGATCCTCAGATGTGGGCAACAGACGGTCTGACAGAGTCTGACAGTTCAGCTCAAAACTCAGGTCATTGGGACCGGTGGTGCAGCAGAAGTTGGAAGTACTGTGTCGGTTCATTACACGGGACGGCTTTTGAATGGGCTGCTCAACTCAAACTCAGATGTAGAGACTGTAATTCAGCATCCTAATTGTAGTAGAGTCCGAATTTGCTTCCACCAGGATACCCCTAAATGGCAGTTTTTAATGGCAGTTTTTAATGCACAACACGATGATCAACCATGGAAAATTGGGGCTTCCCAATTTAGAGACACTTTATATGCTAAGTAGATTAATTAGCCTTCATTGATTCTCGCCGTTGATCACCTTTGGTCGTGTGATGTGGTTGCTCCAAGGTCAATCTTCGACTCTTCGAAGTATCGGCACAAACCGATTGAGTTTCAGCTTGGAGTTGGCAAAGTGATTCCTGGGTCCCATGGATGCAGACCGGATGACCTGCGTGAGTTTCCAAATCACCTTATTCAAAGCTTTCTGTCCAGCAAAAGGTGTGAACATGCTCCTTTTTCTCCTTGCAATAGCTCGTTTAGTCAAATCACGCCTTCAAAAATGTAGAATATAAACTGGATTCTCTGTTTGCACTCAAGCCATCTTGCTCAACTGTGGAAGATGCGAAACATTTGATGATGAATCATAATGTCATAATGAATCATGATGAATCATAATGAATGTAGGTCTCAGGAGTTCGCGATCTGACTTCAGGTGGGATGAAGGGATTGAAGGAATGCGTGTTGGTGGAAAACGTCGGCTGCAAATCCCTGCAGACATGGCGTATGGGGACCGTGAAGTTGGCGCCTTGACTTTGCATCGGGGAAAGATTAAAAAACATGGCGGATACAACAAAGCTCGAAGTCATAAGTAAGACGGATTAAGAAGAGGCAGTACATTCCCAGACAAGGATTGTCAGGTTTGCTTTCACTGCCCTGTGTGCGGCTCTGCAAGGTAAGATTCCACCCAACTCAACACTGATATTTGACACGGAGCTGATGAAAGTCAAGAATTCAGACCCAGAACTTTCCTGATGACCGACTCATCGACCTTTCACCAGCTGCTACTGCCACTTGTGCTTCGGTGTCTCTTCCAGCTGACCTTGGAACCAAGTTGAACCTTGAGAAGGGACAGGTGTGACAACATGTGACAACATGCGAGAACTCACAGGAATAATGAAGGCAGTCTTCCCATTTCCTTTTTGGATATGGCTTGTACCTGAAGGGAGTGTAGACTCCAACTGCTTCAGATGTCAATGGAACCAATACAACCATCACAAGATGCTTTGAAGCTGAAGCGTGCTGAAGGGGAAAAGGCTTCAAGTTTGATTCGCGCTGCATTTTGCCGTGATATCACTGGCTGCAAACATAGACATGCTGAAACATGCCACCAGTGATTCTGTGCTATAAATTGGCATTCCAGGCAACAACAGCTCCGCAAACAAGTGGAGGCCACTCGTCAGGAACAACTTCGACAGGACCTGCAGAAACAGTGCAGAGACAGCTAGACGTCAAGCTTTAGCTGCAAAGCCCAAGCTGTTGTTGAGCTCATGGAACTCGACCTACTTTATGCGGCTCAAAATACAATAGCTTCAAAACACAGCTAGCTGTAAAAGCAGATTGCATATGGCATTTCTGAGACAGTTTTTGGCGAAGAATGACATTGGAAGGTGGTGAACCGGGTAGTTTCATAGACCTGAAAGCGTATGAAGTTCGCAGACTTTGAGCTGACATTGTCACGGGCAGTGCAGCGTATGTAATAGTTTTGGTGACGTGACCTTAGTACACTCGCACACTGACATAGCCATGATGTCAACCTGCGGATGCTACAGAGATAATAAAGTCAAAGGAATGGAGATCTCAGGCAGCAACTCATACACCATGACATGAAGTTGCGATGTCCATGTCCTTTGGGCAATTCGACTTCGACAATGCCCTCCAAAATGTGTCTCAGGTGCACTTGCCGGTTTGGTCCTTCGAATCAATGTTCTTTTCCCATTTCTGTAATCTGCTGCAACACCTGGAAATGGACTCTATCTATTGCCTTCCGTTCTTCTGTGGGATCACTGCTCTCATCAAGGACAGAGGTGTGGTGCCATTGTTGGCCATCCTGACGAACTGCCCATGTGGATATTCAGGGCCAACATCTATCATCTGCCTTGGTTCTCATGAACTAACTATCTAATTTGGTCTAATTTTGTTGATTTGAGCACGTCACTATATGAAATAGCAACTGAAGAAAAACATATTGGATTTGGACTGTTGCGTGTTCTTGCGCGTTTGTTTGTGAAAACCAGCCAAAGTTAAGCGTTAAGCATATCTCATGCTGTTTCTGGATTGACCCACTGCCGCCCACGGCAGGCATATCGAAGGGCCAGCCAGGTGGCAACAGAGGCTGCGAGCCAAGCCAGTCAGGCAGCCAGCCAGGCAGCAAGCGATTTTGCGCTGTGGAGCGCAGGTGGGAACAGATTGCGCGGACGTTGATACCGATATTTACGTGGTTTTCTAAGAAATGAGTATGAGTCATCCCCTAACAATTGGATGGTATGGTTCAGACTAAACATATGCTTAAATATGTGGTACCCCAGGTCCTTAATTTTGACCTGTACGACCCCATACCCATATGACCGTTTGGTCTGGAGGACAGGAACCAGAAGAGGAGTCTGAAAGCGAGCTTGATGAGGAGACGTGATTAGCTACAGTCAGTATGTACATATGTATATATATATACAAATATTATATATATATACATATGTATATATATATATATATATGTAGATATAGATATTGCAATAACGATTCGTCTTCAATCATATGTATAATTGCACATCAGTATATGATATATATATATATATTATTAGATCTAAATATGATATAATCCGCTGGGCGCAGAAGGATCTTCCAGAAGTTGCGGCGGTGCGAGACCTGTAACACTGGCATCGATTTTCTTCAGTGGTACAAAACTTGTGGCAAATCTCTGATGGAAAACTTTGATTTGTGCCAGGCTCCGCCCAGTTGCCTCAGTCTTGCTTGCTAGGCCAGAGGAATGGTTGTTGTTCTGATTCCAGTGGTGATACTGACGGTATCATTTTAAGACAACAGCCGACGTGGCTAGGCACATCAAAGAGGCCCGCCGCAAAGCGCAAAGGGTGCTGCTGTTTGGGTGAATTCTGTGACTGCTACATAGGTAGGTTGAGGTAATCGTGTGGAGTCTAATTGGATCAATGAAAAAAACTCATGACATGGTCATGCTCGTCGTGTTGCCGTCAAGAGGTCTAGGGATTTGAGCAGTCTTTCCTGACAAACTGAGCATACATTTGTTCAGAGACCCAGGCACCCATTTTTGGCACGTCCCAGTTCAATTTCTAGCGTGCGGACAGTAGCCATCATAAATCATAACTGAACACAATCAAGCTTTCAAGCTGTTCAAGCCTCCTACATTGAATCTTCACACAATTAAAAACACGTCTGGCTTGTGTTGATTTTCCGTGCCCAGCATGCGGACCTCTTCAGCTACGTGCTGACAAGCAAAGATGAAGTTGGATCATGTGTTTGAAACTCAGAAATCCGCAGAAGACTATTGGGTCCTTGTCATCCAGCTGGATTCATTTTGCCATCCCACCCAAATTTCACAATATCGGGAGGCTGGCGAGATGCTCTTTGGGCGACCCGAAGATGGAGCTACCATGACGAGGTCTGAGTCAACATGCGAATCAGAAGTTGCCATCAGTTGCCATCAGTAACTGCTGACAGTTGCTGTTCCCGGCTGCAGGTTTTGGCTTCGTCGCAAGCCATCGCATGGATTGCAGGTGGTGGCTGGCGGCTTGGATCAAAGACCCAATGAAGAAGAGCTACGGGAGGAGGAGACGGGAAGACCATCGGCTGTGCCATGGAAGAAAATGAGCCAAGGGGCTTCAAGGGATACCCAAAAGATGGAACCGTGGGTCGTTTCCATGGTGGTTACGGTCACTTTGGGGTGTTAGCGGTTTTAATGGTTTTGTTTTGGGGCTCCTATGAGCTGTGGTAGATGAATCAGTCCTTGAGTGCTGACAGCCTGGGACCAGGCCCCGTGTGATGCCAAAAGCGACAGGAACATGAGCAACAGATCAGCGCGCACAGCGGTGACGTCAGATGCTCAAAAAGGAGATGAGTTATGAGTTTACCAAAGAATGGATGTCAGCAAACCTGAAGAATCATATGAGAACCAAACCGGTAGGACTCTGTGACTTTGGGGTAGCTCTAGGGGTTCAACTTGATGAAGCTCCCAGGCTTGGCTACGGATTCTGAACCTCAATGATGAGCCCAGCATTTTGGCTTGGAGCCAAGGGCTCCCAAATATGTCAGCAGTGGGAGCTGTGATGAAGCCACAACCCAAGCGATCCATACAGAAGATCCAAGGACTTTAAGGTGGATGCTGCTCATGGTTGTGCACCACAGGCTCTTCCAGAGGCCAGAGTTGGATATTGTTTGCATATGTTTGCATGATAATATATATATATATGTATGTATATATATATATGTATATATATATGTATATATATAGTACTACAAATTATATATATATGTATATTATAAGGTAAAATATTTGTTGCGAAAACATATAGTAAAACAACATAAAGCGTCATTTTCAAGCAACCCGGAAGGCCATGGCGCTCTTTGCAGTTGCTCCATATGCATTGGAGGTGCTGCTGCCAACTTCCTAGTTCCACGCTGTATCGGAGGGTGCAGCATAATGGCAGACTTTTACCTGTTTGATTGATCTTTGGAATAGCTGGAATATCTCATCATACCTCCATGGTTCTTCATGATATGGAGGTTCCCTAGAACATGGGTACCCCCAAAAAAATAGATTTTCTCATGGATAACAACCCATTTTCCCATTGATTTTTGGAACCTCGCCGAGGCTTGCAGCCTTTGATCAGCCGAAGTCTGCCCCCCGGCGACGATCACGGCCCTCCACAGCCGCGTATTTGACGCCACTGGCTCGGTTGTTTTGGTTGTTTTCGTTTCACCAGAAATTTGTGGTTTGATGTCCAAGATTGTCATAGATTGTTTACATCAACAAGAGAACTAAGAAAATACTGACTCGACTCTGCGGACAGGTAGCATTTTCGTTGAAGGTGGGGCTTCAATCTTTGCTGTTTCGTGCAGGTCAGCTCCAGCTAAAAAGACGTGCAGTAGCTCTCGTCGTGTTCGCCATGCAGCCGGCCTCTCAGAATTGGTGCCCCCGAACATCCAAACGTGTCAAACCGTGTGTATATATATATATAGATAATCAGACATAAACACATACATACATATATGCACATACACACATAGATACATAGATACATAGATGCATAGATACATATATATATATACGATGTATTTTACGATATTATATAATGATAATCCATGTCAGCATTTGACATCGACTTACACAGCCTCCAGGCGACGCAGCTTGTGCCAGGGTCTTGGTAACTGGACCGGGTCTGTTGGTCGTCACAAGACTCAACCGTGGACTCGCAGCATAGTTCATGCTATGCTGCAGATTTTGGGAAGTGCATTGTTTCCCAGGCCCAGAATCATGGCGGTCCTGCGACGCATTGTTGCTTTGAAGTCCATGGAGCTAGGTTGGGACTTTGAGATTTGGATGTGCCAAACTACCAGTGCAATTGGCAAAACGTGGTAAGCTTCCAATGGCTTGGTAGTTTATGGTAGTTTATGGTAGTTTTATTTGGCGTTCAGCTGAAATGGACATATAGTGATCGTTGGTTCTTTCCCAAGGGCAGGTTTGAGGATGCTTAGTCGGATGATCCCGCACCCGCTGATTCGTTTTTTTGGTTTTACGTAGCTGCTGGTGAGAACACATTGTTCATGGTCATAACCATAGCCTAGCCCATTTTTGCTAGTTCTTGATGCTTTTATGTATGTATGTTAAACAATTTCCCTTATATATATATATTACATATATATATATATATCATGTTATATATTGTATATATGTACATATATGTACATATACATCTATATAAATATCCCCAAAGTATTCTTGTTTTGACCTTCCGCCAGGCGTCAATGCTTTAGCTGATCTGGACGGCTCGGTGAACGTCTTGCGAGTCGATGCCAAGGCTTGCAGTGGATCCCAATAGCTGGATGGTTTTGATGGGAAAATCCCATCTATAAATGGAAAAAATGTTGGTTTATAATGGAAAATCCCATCTATAAATGGATCACAAACAGGGTACCTCCAGGGCAGGGCCATGAAACCTGTGGAAAGCTCCAATTTGGGCCAGGTGCCTCTGGACTTCCAAGCGTTGGATAAACATTATAAGCGCCAGATGCTAAGCACCGCCTGCTTTTTGTATCCCCAATGTATCGATGCCAGGGCCGGGCTTCCCTTGTCGTCTTGCAGCTGTATGAAGTGGTGCAGAAGAGTGCAACAGCAATGCTAGTGTTTGGAAACGCTATGGACGATGAACTGCATTAAGTAGTAGTCGATGCCTTTTAGGAAGAAGGATTTATATATATTCAACCTCATGGCTAGGTGGTATACTTTTGCTTGCATGGGTGAAGTGAATGACATTAGTCTGTACATGTGAAGATTTTGGCACACTCCTGGAGCCTGTGGCGTGCAATGGCAATGGATGTGCAAGAAACCTGGAATGTTTGATCTGCCGAGTGGAGGACTATCCATTTTCGGATGCCACTTTGCTGCAATTTTTCCGCTACATCCCCACAAATTCAGCCTTCCAAAGTGAAACATCTGTACGCCCCCAGGCCCAAGTCATACTACGAATTGCTGGAGGTGAGCCGCAACGCAAGTGCGGCTGAAATCCACAAGGCGTACAAAAAGAAGGCCCTGCAACATCATCCGGACAAGAATCCAGGGCAGGTGGCAGAGGCAACGGAACTGTTCAAAGCGATTGGGGAAGCCTACCTGGTTCTTCGTGATCCTACGAAGCGAGCAGCTTACGACTATGATTTGGACAACAAATCCGCTTGGAGTGCCTTATGTCGCAAGAGAACTGTTTGCGTCACCTTGATGATTTCAGAAGCCTAGGTCCAAGTCTTCTGACCTAGATCGATGATCTATGTCCGAAAATTGGTTGAAAATTGTGACTGTCTCAGGTTTTTATCATGGCTCCATGTCTCGAGATTTGATCTGTAGAGGTCCTTCCTCCTGGCATGCTCAAGATGATGAAGGCTTTACCTTCTCCATGGCCAAGGAGCTTTGACAAATGAGCATCGTCAGAAAATCCTGAATACACTTTAAGAAGAGTTGTGTCATATGGCTGGGTCGCGTAAGCAAAAGCCTGGGTTTCGTAAGGTGGCGTAAGCCACTTTTGCAAAATACCATGCTTAAGTTCATGCCTCTGGAGTAAGCAGTGCCTATGCGTTTTAGTCGAACCCGTCAGCGTAAGCTTCGTAAGCTTCGCTTAAGTCATTTTATGCACATGCCTTCCACAAGTCAAAACTGTGGTCGCGTAAGCATAGTGTATGGTCTAGCGTAAGCAATGTTATGCGACATAGAATGGCAATCTCACGTGTTCGGAGAAGCTCAAATGCCGGGAACGTTGCCACCAAAATCTCGAAGATGTATCCAAGAAATGTCAACAAAAGAAGCAACAAGTACAAGGAACAGACAATGTCGTGCCCACCGGCTGCAGAATGCCAGAATTAGCTGCAGAGAAGTTAACGTAAGAAGCCGTGCCTACCCCATAAACATCAGCGACTTCTGATGTGTTTGGTGCACTTTTCTTGAGTTTTGTTGCGGTGCCTATGTGTTTCGCTATCAACGCCTACTTAGGGGATTTTCAGATAATATACATTGTTGTTGTTTGGATCCAGCGGTGCCATTGGGAACTCATGCCGTGTCGAGCTGGTTGGGTGCTTGCCTTTTGCCTCGCCCACAGCGGGAATGGAAAGTAAGTGGTGGATTTGCATTCTGGCGTCCTTATTTGGTCAATCATGCTTTGCAATAGTTCTGGCATTGGCTAGTTTTTCCATGGGTTTAACTTCCGGCTGGAAAGCTCTGCGGGTGCAGCAGGGATAGGTGCAGCCCATTCTGGGCCGTATTTCATCAAGATTCAACCAAAGAGACTGTTGGTTGAGTGGATGAACATCAATCTATACACCAGCGAGTTTGGTGTGGTAAATCACCAGGGTGGACCGAAGTGACAGCGATCAGGACCTCTTCCGGGAGACCTTTGGAGACGAATTTACCAATCGCATTGAAAGAGTTGCAACAGAGACCTCCGCTGCGGTGGCTAAGGCACGGAGGACGTTTTTTGTGCTGGTGGAACGGAGGAAGAATGGAAGAATCACAACAGGTAGAGCAAAGAATTGGATGGTCTCATGCTATCTCATGCCGATGAACATTCTTTTGAAGGGGTCTTGTCAATCGTGAACAAAGATTTTGTTTTTGTGAGTGATGCTTATTCGGAGTAGCCTTTTTCCCCCATTCGATCCCATTTGAAACAATTTTTCCAGCAAGGCTGTTCCCAGGAAACGCAAATCAAATGAAAATCGAACCTAGCAAGCAGGGCTGTGTGATCTTTAAACCAATTTTCGAAGGCTGCCCATGAGCGCCTTTGCCATCCTTTGCCTCTAGTGTATCTCAGAGATAAGACCGCCATCTGCAGGCTTGGGGCGGTGTCTCAGAGCGATGCTCTCAAGCCGAGCCAGTGCGCAATGCGGTCAGTGCTGGCTTAAGCTCTTTGGCCAATGAAGCCCAGGTGCTGTGGCCGCACTTGCTGTTGCTGTCTCTCATTAAGGACATGCAGAGAGAGGCTAGGTGCTGATAGGTCATTGGGTTTATTAAATTTCTGCTGTGCAGGCGGAAGAGACGCGAATGGAGCGAGAAGTTGCTGCTAGGTGCCTTGGGTGGTGGATACCATACCCGCCAAATCATGGATAGTTTTAGACATACGCCAAAATGCTGAGGCGTCACGAGCTGGCGGCTATAGAAAAGGAACAGAAAGAGCAAGAACTCATTCGAAAGGTGGAAGGCAAAAGACTTGCCGACTTGGAGGCCGAGCTTTTGCACATTGCATTAACTTGAACTGCTCATCTCACAGGAGGACCTTCATGGTCATTTAATAAATTGAAGAAGTCGCGTGGAGCACTCCGCAGGCAGAGGCCAACAAAGTTGCCACTTCTGGCACACTGCTGGTCCTTTGCGTGTTACTGGGAGTAGCTTTGCGTGGCTGGCTAAGACACAGCCACACCATCTACTGGGCTGTTTCTTGGGTTCCTTACTCATTCTTGAGCGCCCTTCCTATGGGGCTCGCTCCTAGGCACGCACAAGTCTGTAGAGCCAGCTTTGTTGGTTCCAGATTTCCAATGCTGCAATGCCACGCATTCTGTTTTCGGACCTTTCAAGAGCCCAAAAGGCCTGGCGGCCTGGCATGAAAAGCTGCTGCAAACGGCATGAAACCTCTTTTCGCGCCCAAAACCCCAAAGCCCAGGTTGCTTTCCTTGCTTCCTGGACTCGGTGCTCTCGGCTTTGGGTGTTACTACTCGGTGGTGGATGCTTGATGGAAGCGACCCAGGCTGGGTTTTGCAGGAATCATTTGGCCTGCCTCTATAGACTCTACACTTCGCTTTTGTTGGGTTTTTGTTGTGGAGCACTTCCTGCCTAGGGAATCAATTATATCTGATGAAATCTGATGAACCCTTGGAGACATCCCCCCTTCTTAGGCTTCCCAGACATATTTTGAACACGAACAATTTGTTGAGAAACTTGCGAGGTGCTTCATGTGTCGTGGTTCTTGCTAATATTGCTGGTTCTGCTCGCAGCGCGGTGTGTGTCCCTTGGACTATCATTGTTGCTGATTCCGGACTTGTTTATGCTTTGGAAACCAATTGCTCATTTGTTCCGGTTTCTGTGGACTGTACAAGAATCGGCCGCAATTGCTGTGTTGCTTGCAAAGGTACCAGTGGTGGAGATTGATTCAGATGTGGCAGAAACATCAAAACTGGAGACACCAAGATGAAGCCGATGCTGCATATCTGGAGGCAGAATGGCGAAAAGCCAATCGAGCCTACAAAGGCCTGGGCAGATTGGGCAGAGATTGCTACCTGTCCAGTTGCAGATTTCGGCAGCCAGGGGCGCAACAGATGCTGGAAGAAGCCAAGATGAAGGCCGACAAAGCCAGGCAGGAGTAAGGTGGGTAAGGTGGAGTCCAAGAAATTCTGGATTGACTGCATGAGTCACAAGGGCAATTCAAGATGTTTGGTGGTTGTGGCGAGTTTCAAACCAGCGCAGGGGAGAAGTGGAGTCAGTTCAGCGGGATGGTGCTTCCTTGGCCCATACTGCTCGAGCCAGAGCCTCGGTGCCCCTGCTCCGCGGTCACTGGTTGGTGCTGGTTGGTGCTGGTTGGTGCTGGTTGGCTAAGATGAAGACTGTTGAAAAAAAGTTGAAAAGTACCAATAAACATGATTTGGAACTGCCAACCGAGGCTGGAATTCACTTCATTGGCAAGCTGATGCGGCGTTCAAACGAAAGAGCATTGGAACCATGGCTGAAAGAGTATGTGTCAGCATTAAGTTTGCAGGCCTTCCAAGCACCTGCATGAAAAGCAGTAGATAGGCAGGAATGAATGAAACGACACTTGAGGTTGGTGATGCTTCCATATTGATGTCATGAATCATTTGGAAGCCAAGGAATGAGTTTGGACTGGTTGCTGACACCCATTGATGTAGTCGACTGGTGACTAAAGATTTGCTCCTGTTTTCAAGACGAAAGCAGCAGCGATGTGACACCTCCGCGGTCCTTTCCGCCATGTACATAGAATGCAGAGTGGCCATCCTCCGCGAGCCACTCGAGTCGAGCTCTCAAGCTCAGTTTACCCCGGAAACCGTAGCATCTCTCTGACATTGAAAAGAGCGAAGCTTCATGGACTTTCATGCCTTGCCAGGCCTTGCCCCTTTCCAGGATTTGACTCACGTAATCGTGGAACTTCAGAGCCTGCGAGCAGAAACTTCTTTTCTGAAGAGCCCCGATTTGAAGCTGTTTTGATGTGATGTTCGTTGCTAAAAGTGAGCAGGCATTTTGGAGAACGTAACGTAGCCGACGTGAATAATCTGTTGGCACAAGTTTTGCCTGAATGTTTAAGGTGTGGGAAAGCTCTTGAAACACTACGACTTGGTTTCGGCCAGAAGCCTTTACTTTATTGGACTGGCACCATTTACATCCATCGACACATTTGGATACATTTGGCATCAAACAACTTGGTGTTTTTCAAGGTCAAAGCCTATGACCACAAAACCGATGCGTGCCTTTTCACCTTCTGTATCCAGTGCCTTGGTGGCAGAGGAGCTGCCTTGGCAGATCAGGAGCATCTCGTGACCATTGGTGGACTCGTGCAACCTGAGGGATGGTTGGATCCATGTCTGTTTGGACCTCAGTTGAACAGTTGCGCGTGATTTTGAAGATTGCCATGTTGTCAATGTTGTCTCAGGCTTCCATTTGATGGAGGGGCAGCTAGCATGGCTGCGAACTCAACTTAAGAGTAGCTTAAGAGATCCAAACTTTGTGAACCAGTTTTAATGGCAAAGCGTCCAAATCTGAAAGTCTTTCTTTGACTTCGTGATTGATCTTCCAGCAGAATACAAGGCCTAGCGAAGGTACGAGAGCTGCTATGCCACTGACCTTTGGTCACCTCCTCAGAGCTTGACGATATTGTGTTTTGATATGTTTTGAAAGTTTGGCCAAGCTTGACAGCTTGATCTGCCGATCACTGCGCCTTGAGGCGATGGCATCAAGTTAGATTTGGAAATTCAGCTCTCGCTTCTTCTGATGGGTGCCTTGGATGGGTAAAGCCACATGGCCCATGGCCCTGCACTCCAGCTGCTCTGTGGCCTGTGTGGCGATGCCATGCCAAGGCCTCACGCTGCCCGCGGTAGCGCTACCGAAACTCTTTCTGGAAGTTGTTGCCTGGGACTCAGGTGATGGTAAGTCCAGTGACCCTGGTGCCCTCATTTGGATTTGAACATAGGGTGCCTAAAAATCCCATAGGACATCATCATTTCATCAAACCATCATATTAAAAGAACCATTTGGGGGTAGTCCCCATTTTTGGACAAAATTATTTTTCGAACCAGGCGAGTTGACGATGAAGATGAAGTTTTCTTTTTTTAAATGAGACTTGGAGCCTTCGAGCCACCATGTCTGCAGATCACGGCTGGCAATGTTCAAGTGGTATGCCAAGAGGCTGGAGAAGAGGCTTGGATTTTCGGTCGAGCCACTGTAGCTGATGAGTTGTTGATTGGTCTCAGATATTGGACTTCTATACCTGGAATGATGGTTTTGAAGGACTTTTTTAAAGTTTTAATCAGCTACTTGTAGATAACTTCCTGCCACCTGAAAACAATCATAATTTCCTAGGTCCCTAGTGTTTGTAGATGTCACTCGCATGATGTTTTTGGGTCCCACTCCTCAACTGACATGCGGAGATTTTATGAATGGATCAGTTTCTGCAGGAATCTTCAGAGTCTCACCATCACGCCGAGACGGATTGGAGCGCTCAGGCCAGCTATTCAGATGCTTACGATGCTTGCATTTCAGGGTCTTCAGTTGAGCCTCTTATGTAGGCGATCCAAACGGATCACTGACTTCTTCCTGGGGCCAAGACGTACCCAACATGCCTTGATCCAAGGTGATGTCCAGCATATCTAGTGCGGCATGGGCAGCAGCTGAGAGTGCGGCGCTGCTTGGCGAAGTCCACGATTTGACGTTGAGAGGTTCAGCGTGCCCTATTTTCGAGTCTATTCTTGCCCTGTGTCTTTGTATGTAGCTCAGAGTCATTCCCCCGAAAGAATTGAAAAGAATAACCTGCCAAGGAACCTCGCCTACGACTTTCAGCTACTAAGACGCCGGGATCCTGGTAGGGGCAGGTGCTGGCAGGTGATGTCACCAATAGTGTCCCTCTGCACTCCAAGCTTTCAGCTGCAGCTGTTGAGCACAACATGATTTCTTTCGCAGGCTTGCTGAAAGAGAAGTTCTTTTTCAACTTGAGCTTCGAAAAGGGATCAGAAAATGCATCAGGCGCGTCTATTTTGATAAAGGACTCTGGTTTGTACAGATCTTGAATCATTTCATTCCAGCTCAGTTTTCGTGCCACAAGAAGACAAAAAGGATATATTTTGTCGCAGGTGAAAGTGTTGCCAAAATGCGGACTGCAATGGAGCTTGTTCGTGCCCCAAGTCCTTTTGCAACGGGTGTTTTAGACTGTTCGACCAAGGCAAGTGCTGTCACCGGTGCTGCAACTTGTATTTCTTTGCAATCTCATATGGGAAAGAGTCAAAAGTTGGTTGATACATCGGAATGTCTACTATGGGTCCCAGCGTACTGTACACACACATACACATGGACATGTCTCAACATGTAGAAATGAATGGACATCCGTTCCATCAGTTCTATCCCATGGTTTTAGAAAAACCTTTCTTTCTAAATGGCCCATCCCATTTAGAGACATTTCCATCCCATTTCATCCCATCAGTGGCCAGTTGCATTGGGGCTTCCCCATGGCTGGGGAGCCACGTTTTGCTTTCCCCAAAACGGGGGGGAGCTGAGGCCATCCCAAAGAGTGCAGCAGCTGAAGTGGTGACGTCAAAAGCTCAATGGTTGGTTGAAATTAGATTAAAATATGGATTATATAGGTAAATTCCCCTTTTTTGTGGTTGTTGCTGGTGGGTTAAAGTTCAACTTATGGTAAAAACTGTTAGTTCTTGGTCAAAACTAACAGACATTTTTGTTCTCCACAGCTCTATCCTTTCTACTGTTGGATATGAAGAACTGCAGTGCATTGGGGCCTGTTTTGGGATTTATTTTGTGCACGACAGGAGCGCAAGTTGTCGGTGATCACTGATCTACTCTTGCCAATTACTGCTTTGAATTTGAATCAAGTTGACACAGTTTCTGAACCGCACCGTAAGGCAGTGCTTGAAACATTTTCTGACAGAGCAACTGAAGAAGGCAGGTTCTGCGACTGCAAGGACATGATACGCCTCTCTTGAATACATACATTTTTCTTAATTGGTTGCTACGTGAAAAGGCTAGTGTAGCAACAAGGCTGGTACTGTAAATGGATGTTCATTCCCCCAAATATGATGTGATAATATGTGATAGTGATAATCGTATTATAGGTTTGGATCCATTCTCAATTGTCAAGTAAGCAGTGTTCAAAACCTCTTCTGGTTGATGATTACATGGGGTTATACTATTCAAAATTATTCAATATATTGAGGATGATGACAATCTATTCTGGGAAATGCTAGAAATTAAGCAGTAAAAAGGGACAATCAATTACAGGCCTTCTGGGTTTTGAACACTGCATCCGCCATCTTTCTGCAGATGGATTTGTTGACGCTTTTCCGGGACTTGTTGGAAGCTGTGGGCCTTGATCTAAGCTGTGGGATGGCGACTTTGCATCCATGGCTGTGTCTGAAAGTGGGGTTTACAGCCTGAACGGCAATTTTAATAGGGACAAGTAGGGTGATAAACCACTGGGGTATCCCATTTCCAGACAAAGCTGCATTTAGGAACAAATTTCATTTTGCTGCATTGCCTGTGTTTGTTTCTTATGTTTCCCAGAGGGTGCAGCGTGGCTTCAGGCCAAGACTTGTCACGGTTGGCACTGTCGGAGGTGCACCAAGACATGCATTCGATAGCAAAGCACCAAAGCACTGCCATTCTGAAGCAGCCAATTGGCCAAGATCTTCTGAAGCCAATTCTGAGTCTCTGTGAGGATGCTTTGCGGGCAGCTGACAACAAGTCGGCCCAAACGAAACAATTCCTTTAGCAAAAGAGCCTTGCACTGCCCGGCAGTGAGATTGATTGCCTCTTGCATCAAGTATCCGTGTGCAGGTGCATGTCATGGCTCAAAATTAAAGCCGAACACACACGCACATGTATATAATAATAATAACAATAATAATAATAATGATAATAATAATAATAACAATAATTACAATAATAATAATAATAATAATTTAAGGGCTGCCGCCCCTGCCGCCGACCCCGGAATCAAACATCAGGAACGGCAGTTTGTGTCCTCGCATTGATGGGAATAGCAAGTTAGGAGTAGTAGTAGGAGTAGTAGTTGTAGGAGTAGGAGTAGGAGTAGTAGTAGTAGTAGGAGGAGGAGGAGTAGTAGTAGTAGCTGTAGTAGTAGTAGTAGTAGTAGCAGCAGGAGTAGTAGTAGTTGTAGTAGTAGTAGTAGGAGTAGTAGCAGGAGTAGTAGCAGTAGTAGTCGTAGCAGTCGCAGTCGCAGTCGCAGTCGTAGTCGTAGTAGTAGTAGTAGTAGTAGTAGATTGCGCGTGTCGTCGCGGCACGCAAACTAGCAGGGCGGTCCGTGGCTGGCAAACAGTGGTGTGAAGAAACTGATAGAAGTGCTGCGTCAAACCCGGAAGGGAGCACCAGAAAGCCGGAAGGGAAGGCACAACAGGCGACAGCGGAGAATGCAGAGAGGAAAGGCCGATCGGAAGGCAAAGAAAGTCCGAGCGACTATACGTACAAGTGTCCGTTTTGTGATGGCACCATCGAAAGCAAAATGGCAACTGGCCGCATCAGTCACAGACAGGTGTGTGGTCACCGATTTTGGGTTGACAAGGGCGCCGTCGTGGGAGCCGTCCCGAACAGTGTCATGCATACCTACCGGTGTCCATTTTGTGACGGCACCATAGCGAGCCCAGTTGCAACTGGGCGTATCAACCACAGAGGTGTGTGTGGCCATCAATTTCGGGTGCACAACGGCGCAATCAGGGGCGCGGTCCCGAACAGTGTCAAGCACACCTACCGGTGTCCATTTTGTGACGGCACCATAGAGAGCCCACGTGCAACAGGGCGTATCGATCATAGAGCTGTGTGTGGCCATCAATTTCGGGTGCACAACGGCGCAATCAGGGGAGCGGTCCCGAACAGTGTCAAGCATACCTACCGGTGTCCATTTTGTGAGGGCACCATAGAGAGCCCGCTTGCAACAGGGTGTATCGATCATAGAGCTGTGTGTGGCCATCAATTTCGCGTGGAGAACGGAGCCAGGATCTCCAGCCCCAAACACGAGCACCCGTGCCCGGCCTGTGGCACACTGGTGACATCAGCAAAGGCGACAGGAAGAATACAAAGCAGCCACAAAGATGCCAGTGGAAACCAATGCGGACGGAAAGAATGGGTAGTAAAGTAAAAACAGGATGGTAAAGTAACAAACGTCACCTAAGGAATCCATAAAGATAGGCAGAGCAGGGACCCAGAACCTGCAGAGACTCCAGATCCTCAGAGCCAAGATGCCAAACGTCACCTAAGGAATGCATAAAGAGAGGAAGAAAGAGTGCAGCAAGTGAGACTGTGGACCCCCAAGGGAAGAAAGAGTGCAGCAAGTGACACTGTGGACCCCCAAGGGCCCCAGAGACTGCAGATCCTCGAGATCCTGCAGAGCAGGGACCCAGAACCTGCAGAGACTCCAGATCCTCAGAGCCAAGATGCCAAACGTCACCTAAGGAATGCATAAAGATAGGAAGAAAGAGTGCAGCAAGTGACACTGTGGACCCCCAAGGGCCCCAGAGACTGCAGAGATCCTCCAGATCCTGCAGAGCAGATCCTGCAGAGCAGGGACCCAGGCAGAGACTCCAGATCCTCAGAGCCAAGATGCCAAACGTCACCTAAGGAATGCATAAAGATAGCAGGGACCCAGAACCTGCAGAGACTCCAGATCCTCAGAGCCAAGATGCCAAACGTCACCTAAGGAATGCATAAAGATAGGAAGAAAGAATGCAGCAAGTGACACTGGGCCCCAGAGACTCCAGATCCTCCAGATCCTGCAGAGCAGATCCTGCAGAGCAGGGACCCAGGCAGAGACTCCAGATCCTCAGAGCCAAGATGCCAAACGTCACCTAAGGAATGCATAAAGATAGCAGGGACCCAGAACCTGCAGAGACTCCAGATCCTCAGAGCCAAGATGCCAAACGTCACCCAAGGAAAGCATAAAGATAGGAAGAAAGAGTGCAGCGAGTGAGACAGAGCAGGGACCCAGAACCTGCAGAGACTCCAGATCCTCAGAGCCAAGATGCCAAACGTCACCTAAGGAATGCATAAAGATAGGAAGAAAGAGTGCAGCAAGTGACACTGTGGACCCCCAAGGGCCCCAGAGACTGCAGAGATCCTCCAGATCCTGCAGAGCAGATCCTGCAGAGCAGGGACCCAGGCAGAGACTCCAGATCCTCAGAGCCAAGATGCCAAACGTCACCTAAGGAATGCATAAAGATAGCAGGGACCCAGAACCTGCAGAGACTCCAGATCAGAGCCAAGATGCCAAACGTCACCTAAGGAATGCCAGCAAGTGACAGAGACTCCAGATCCTCCAGATCCTGCAGAGCAGATCCTGCAGAGCAGGGACCCAGGCAGAGACTCCAGATCCTCAGAGCCAAGATGCCAAACGTCACCTAAGGAATGCATAAAGATAGCAGGGACCCAGAACCTGCAGAGACTCCAGATCCTCAGAGCCAAGATGCCAAACGTCACCCAAGGAAAGCATAAAGAGAGGAAGAAAGAGTGCAGCGAGTGAGACTGTGGGCCCCCAAGGGCCCCAGAGACTCCAGATCCTCCAGATCCTGCAGAGCAGGGACCCAGGCAGAGACTCCAGATCCTCAGAGCCAAGATGCCAAACGTCACCTAAGGAATGCATAAAGATAGCAGGGACCCAGAACCTGCAGAGACTCCAGATCCTCAGAGCCAAGATGCCAAACGTCACCTAAGGAATGCAGAAAGAGATAGGAAGAAAGAGTGCAGCAAGTGACACTGGGCCCCAGAGACTCCAGATCCTCCAGATCCTGCAGAGCAGGGACCCAGAACCTGCAGAGACCCCGGATCCTTGCAGCAAGTGACACTGTGGACCCCCAAGGGCCCCAGAGACTGACCTAAGGAATGCAGAAAGATAGCAGGGACCCAGAACCTGCAGAGACTCCAGATCTTCAGAGCCAAGATGCCAAAAGTCACCTAAGGAATGCATAAAGATAGGAAGAAAGAGTGCAGCAAGTGACACTGTGGACCCCCAAGGGCCTCAGAGACTCCAGATCCTCCAGATCCTGCAGAGCAGGGACCCAGGCAGAGACTCCAGATCCTCAGAGCCAAGATGCCAAACGTCACCTAAGGAATGCATAAAGATAGCAGGGACCCAGAACCTGCAGAG